CGTCCAAGCAGTCACTGCAGGGTCAGCAATGACTGAGCGCAGACAAAAAAAAAATAAAAATGTGGGAATGACCTTGGGAGACAGGAGGGAGAGCTGCAGACTGGACAGCCAGCAGAAAAGTCCCACAGAAGGAGAGGAGGCATGGGAAGCATTCAGAAGGGACCCTCCCTAATTTTCCAGAGAGTAAAAGAAAAGGAGAGGGAAAACACTTTCAGTCTTGCAAGATTCTGTTAATGTAACTTTACAATAAAGATAGAGCCAGTGCTCCTGGTTGTGCTTCTTGTCAGGACTATCTTGCAGAGCTAACAATATGTTTCTGATCCTGTTTTAAATCCCCTGTGAAATGAGTTTCCCCTCCTATCTACCTACCCCTCTGTTTCCCTCAAAGCTACCTGTCTCCCTTCCTCTTACCTGCTGCTGAATCAGCAGATAGGATAAGATGGAGGATCTTTTCCTCCTTTCCAGTGCTGCCCCTGAGAAAGCAATGGATGCTACTGAGACCCATTTCTGAGCTGAGAAATGTGTTATTTTGCAGAGTCAACATTAGTCAGTGACTTTCAAGATGACTCTTCATATATCCTTATCACAAGTGTTTTAATGGCCATGTGTTGCTGTTTATGACGTTCTACATTGCAAATCAGGCACTTAGTTAATTGGCTTCTTAGAATGTTCTCAGATACATACCCTAGCAGAGAATTACATGCATATTCACATCCACACATATTTTTATAACATGGAGGTTAAAATATGTTAAAGGGTGCAATTACTGGCTTCAGTGAAAGAAGCCACACTTACTGAACATGCTTCATTCTCTGTCACTTTTAAAACAGGTGTATCCGATAATAATCAACCTGCCATGCCATGAATTGAAATATCAAGGGCCAAAACGGGTGTTCCAGAATTAATCATGTATAGTGCACCTTCCTGATTACACATTTTCAGGCACCTTGATTCAGAGTCATGGCTGTGATTTAATTCTGTGGAGAATTTATGATGATCCTGATGAAAAGGGAAGAGCAGATAAAGGGAAAAAAAGAGAAGTTAAATGCAGACAAAAATTGTGTGCAATGCCAAACCTTCCTATTTTATCTGCCCAGGATTGCCAACTCTAGCTGAAATCAATCCTAAAGACTTTTCTCTTCACAGTAA